ACTGCATACACCGTGCAAGAAGACAGCAGGTGCATAATTGTCTCGGGCGCCCTGCGGCAGGCCCTGCAATTTGTGTCAGGGACCTCCATACCCATGACACGGCTACGGTAGACGAGAGTGTTGAAAACCCCATCCTGGCATGCCATGATGAACCCCTCTGTTTCCGATTTAAGCCCGCCTGACTTAAGAAAAGCGAAAGTCAGTTCTTTGGATAAGCCCCGGTCTTCAATGGTCTTGAAGTAGACCGAATGCATGGGCTTATCCATGTGAAGCTGCAGGAGCTTTTTCACTTCTGCAGCTTTGATGCGGGCTTTTCTCCGAGCGGGTTCTAGCTCAGTAACTGAGTCCTGAGCCTCGCGCTCGGAGTCGAAAATCAGAGACAATTCATCGGCTGCTCGACGTGCTGCCCTGAAAAGAAAAGCTCCTACTCCTGCCTCTTCATGGGTTTTAACCATTTGCAGAAGGGGGTCCGAACTCCTGATGACTTTGCAGGCGCCATCCAGAACCATTCTGTTATGGAGATACTCCAAGCTCAAGAGTCCACGGCCACCCTGGTCTCTGGGTATGTATAACCGTGGAACGGACGAATTTGGATGCAGACTCCTATGGAGATGCATCATCTTGCGAGTACTTACGTCAAGTTGTCGCAGCTCGACTTGAGTCCACTTTATCACTCCAAATGAGTAAAGTAGGATCGGAACAGCAAGCATGTTAGTCGCAGCGACTTTGTTCTTCCCCGACAGTTCTGACGACCAGATCTGTCGGAGCCGCTGCCGATACTTGCTGCGGAGAGCGTCTTTTACCCGTTGTGCCTCCTGGATGTGAGTTTCCTCTATTATTATTATTATTATTATTATTATTATCATTATAATTATTATTATCATTATCATTATCATTATCATTATTATTATTATTATTTTCATCATTATCACTCTTACTTTGTATATTATATTTTGTAAACTGGGCTGAAAGACTTCGGTTAATGGCCTTTTGGGGTATATCCCTAATAAAGATTATCTCTCTCTCTCTCTCTATTGTTCAAATAAGTACTGTAATCGAAGACACAAAGAACCCAGCATTCCCAAAGATAGTTGCAATAATAATACATCAAGGTGTGACGCTTTGATTGAGCACTAAGTAGATGAATGGCTCAATGTGGAAAATAACTTCATTGTTGCGCCAGGGACGGTTCAAATCCGGAAACTGCCTCTTTTATCTAAAGATTAGAATTCAATTCGAATTGACCGCCATAGCTAGATTCGTTCTGATTCGTCTGATAATGCATCCATACCAAAAGTCATGGTAAAGTCAATTCTCGCTATGATCACGTCTTATTCCTCCCATTTTATCACGCACGAAAATGATGTGACTCTTTGGTATCAGTCACTTTTGAAAACTGAAAAATCAATATTTCATGTTTGTGGATGTAGAGATACAGGGTCGGTTATGGAAAAGTTTCGCAATATCCTGTCTAAAAATATGCCGTTTTGAAACTTGAAGAATTCCGACTACTTAAAAACGCTGTATCCTAAAATCATGTTTTTTTTTTCAACTTATTTGAAGAAATTAATCAAAATGGATAACACTTTATCAAGGCCACTTTTTCCTCCTTACAAGTTGGCAAGTTCTCAAATTTGGAATCTGACTTTTCTTCGTCTTCCAGAAACCATCATCAACCTGTTTTTGTCAAGTACGGACCTGTATATTTTATTTCATCACACCTTTGGATATCACAAAATTTCGAATCTTTCGTTTACAATTTTATTTCCTCAAATATCAAAAGGAATCATTCCCTGCCGATTTTCATTCATAGTGTTCTTTCATATTCACTCTTTTGGTACTATGGGGATTTTTGAAGGCTGTGTCCACTAATCTCTTCCTTGTCTTTTCACAGTTCCCTCGATATCACTTTCATTTTATTGTTTTTACTCCTGGACACAGATGTCACGCAGGTAGCTATAGCTGCCTCCGTGGTGACGTTAGCAGTTTCCCTGAGACATCAGGGTCTGCTGACCGAAACCACAAATGTGCGGCTGGCTTCTGTTTGTTGACTCCGCCGATTTGTTGTTTCTTCTTCCACCAAGTGTTGCCTACCTGTTGCACAATTTTTCACCGTACTGATGAGGGCCGAAAGCCCGAAACACGTGTCTACGGTTATTTCTTCATGAGGGCTATGTCCACTAATCTCTTTCTTGTCTTTTCACAGTTCCCTCGATATCACTTTCATTTTATATACCGGGTGGCTACGGAAGTATTGCCTACGGAATATCTCAGTTATTGTATGAAGTAGGCTTGTGAAATTTGGAGCGTCGATATAATGACATGAGAGCTAGAATTTGAGCATATCGATATGTCGAAGTTGACTTCCGGTCTGACCGGAAGTAACATCAACTTTCTTATTTTGAATGGAAACCCTATTTTTTTTCTTTTCGCTTTATTCAGCATTCAATTCCCTTTCTAATGACATATCACAAGTTGGTATCTAACTAGAAACTAGATCAGAAAAAAATTATTATCGAAATTCACCGAGTAGGCCGTGGAAGCAAAATGAAAGCCAAAAATTGAAAAGTTGGCTATGGAAACCATACGTCACTTGATAACAGTTGCTACTACTGTGATATTTTATTTTCATTCGTCGGCGTTATGAAAAGCCGTCAAAAAAATATTGGAAAAATTGGGAAAAAAACAATACTCTGTAGGTCCATAACTAAAATTGTTCTAAAATTGTTCTATCCGTCATTCGGTTGCCCCCTTACGAGCAACCCTCAGAAGTCTCCGAGAGTCTTGTGCGAGCAAGGAATGACGGGGGTCTTACCTTTTAACGTGTGATCCCAAACACTTTCTTGGGCCATCAGAAAAATTTCTGCAGTCGACGGGACTCGAACCCACGACCGGCAAGCGAATGCGGATTAGAATATGGACACTCTGTCCGCACGGCTACCTGGACTTAAATAGGTACATGCAACTTTTTTTTGCCTGTACTATTCAGCATAACCATTCCTTTCTAATGATATAATAGGAAGTCATTTTTTGAAATGATATACCAAAAAATCCAATTATTATTCTTCAAATAACAAACAAACAGATTTATCGAAAAAAAAAATCCAAATTGATAGGATTAAAGATAAAATAAATTCAAAACAAATGTTCGATATGCAAAGGAATGGTAATGCTGAATAGAACAGGCAAGAAAAAGTTGTATGTTCCTATTTAAGTTATGGACCTACAGAGTATTGTTTTTTCCCAATTTTTCCAATATTTTTTTTGGCGGCTTTTTATAACGCCGACGAATGAAAATGAAATATCACAGTAGTAGCAACTGTTATCAAGTGACGTATGGTTTCCATAGCCAACTTTTCAATTTTTGACTTTAATTTTGCTTTCACGGCCTACTCGGTGAATTTCAATAATAATTTTTTTCTAATCTAGTTTCTGGTTAGATACCAACTTGTGATATGTCATTAGAAAGGGAATTGGATGCTGAAAAAAGCGAAAAGAAGAAAAAATAGGGTTTCCATTTAAAATAAGAAAGTTGATGTTACTTCCGGTCAGACCGGAAGTTAACTTCGACATGTCAATATGCTCAAATTCTAGCTCTTATGTCATTATATCGACGCTCCAAATTTCACAAACCTACTTCATACAATAACTGAGATATTCCGTAGGCAATACTTCTGTAGCCACCCGGTATAAAGAAATACTTTGAGAATTCGCATTCTCCATGTGATGAAAAATATTAATTTTTCTCGGTTTATTCAACAGAAAACAACTACTTTCTTGGCTATATGCCTCGACGAATATTGAATTACATCTATTGAACACACACGATAAGAATTTGAAAACAAAATCTTCTGAAGTAGAGAATTTGCATTCTCCATTATATGAAGAAATGCATATAATATATTCTGAATATTCAACAGAAAACAACTACTTTTCTGGCTATTTTCCACGTCGAATATTCAACAGAAAACAACTACTTTTCTGGCTATTTTCCACGTCGAACATTGAATTATATCTGTTGAATATCCAGAAAGGGAGCATGAAAAATCAAAATCCTCTGAAATTGAGAATTGACATCATCTCTCAAATCGAAAATCATAATATGAGGTATTATGATATAAAAATATAACTTACCGATATGTTCAGTATTGAAATGAAAATTGAAATGTATAGGAGAAGTATACTTTTATTACCTCTGATCTTGATGAGCTTGGAACTTCCAAAAAAATCATTCGTATCAGTGATATGGGAATTATATCTCTCACAAACAGGTTATATGAATTCATTTCGGATATCATATCCTCATCAGTAACCTGAAGTCCAGTTATTCTTTCAGCCATTCTTCATGATATACACAATTTTCATCTCACTATAATATAACTAAAACTATAACGGACTGACATCTCAGAATTATTATGATTTGTTGACATATACTCTTGTCATTTGGGCATTGGTTTTTTGGATGTATGATAAATTGACATTCATCATACAGGACGTGGAAAGGAATTCTGAATTGAGAAAAACCTGATAACGAATCTGCGATTGAGGCCTATAAAAATAACAAGTTTCCATCGTTCAAGTTTGAATCCCTTGATTGGGTGAAAGTTTTGAAAAGGAACGTTCTCAGATATATTTATGAACACAAAAAAAAGGATATATATATATAAAGAAATACATTGAGAATTCGCATTCTCCATGTGATGAAAATATTAATTCTTTCTCTGTTTATTTAACAGAAAACAACTTCTTTCCTGGCTACATGCCACGACGAATATTGAATTACATCTATTATAGATGTAATACTTTCACCCAATCAAGGGGTTCATACTTGAACGATGGAAACTTGTTATTTTTATAGACCTCAATCGCAGATTCGTGATTAGGTTTTTCTCAATTCAGAATTCCTTTCAACGTCCCGTATGATGAATGTCAATTGATCATGCATCCAAAAATTAAAATCTTATACTTTTTTCCTTGTATAATAAATAACTATTATTTAGGGAGTTCCTGGTGCACCGGCGATGAATCCGCAAGTTGGTACTCCACCGCAGATGACCGGCGCGAATCCGGCCACACCGCAGAACCCCCAACAGAACCTCCTAATTTCCCCTGCCAGCGGTATGTCGATGGGGGGCGGACAAATAACGCAGAATGTCGGCGGCGGGCAGCCCGGACCGGCGATGAGCGGCATGATCGGACAAAATGCGACGCCGGGAGGCATGCGGCCCAATATCAGGATGTCAGGTAATAGACTGAAAGCAAATGACAGATTCTGTGCAACGTATTTTTTCAATGTATGCATCTTTCAAGTCATGATTTGTTGGGTTATTTTCAACATGTCCTAGACAATATTTTGATTCCAACTACGAAACAGCCAAAATGTTCAAAGTGGAATGAAATGTCGAAATAAATAATAAATACAAAGCTCAGAGTAATTTCCATAACAGTTCATGAAATGAACAACAATGGTAGCTGACGGGAGAAAACAACTACTTTCCCGGCTAATTTCACGTAGAATTAACGCCACAAACCTATTTCATATTGATAAGTATGTGTTGTAGTATTTGATGCAATCATTTGTTATTTAAAATCATCGCAAATATATTTTTTTCAATAATGAAATTCGGCACCATCGAAGAAGCCAGCTTCGATGACGTCATGAACAGAACCGAAAGTCTTTGTTATCTGAATTCTGGCTTCCGCAGTAAAAGTAGGACCTTATATTTCAAGGCTGCCAGATTTGTAACCAGTAATCACCTTATGAGATTCAATATGACCACAGAAGACAATAGTTTAACCTGGTCCCTAGTAATCACATATTGAATACTTATATACTCGCCAGATGCTTCAGTACCAATAATGATATCCTGGTATTTTCAATCATGATCAAGATTTCACTTGAAACCAAATTATTTTGTGGCACTGGTAACAGCGTAATGCCTAGAGTTCCCAGAAATACAAGAAGAGAGGAAGAAGGAGACGAACTACATTGTCGACCCAACTTCCTAACGTCACCTACATTTTCAAATTCTTGTTCCATCTAGTCAAGATGCAAATATTCAAAAATATTCCTCTTATTATCTGATTCTCCAGTTATATGTTGTGTTCTCTGTTATCTGTAGTAAGTATTCAGTCCAGAAAAGTCATTAGACTCTAGGGCAAGCACCTTCTGAGGAAACAAACTTTTTTCATAATCTGTATTGAAATGACAATCAAAAATATTCTTGAACTTGTCTTACAGACCAGGAGAATTGATACGTATGTCGAATTTTTTCGGATGAATTCGTCATTCGTTTTCCCGCGTTGTTCATGTTAGGAAATATCGTGAATTCCTATAATTATTCAAAAAATATACAGAGCTCTGTGGAAAAAATGGTTCGCGACAGTGAGGATTTTGATTTTTCATGGTCTCTTTTTTGATATTCAACAGATATAATTTCATGTTCGACGTGGCAAATAGCCAGGAAAATGGTTCTCGACAATGAGGATTTTGATTTTTCATGGTCTCTTTTGGATATTCAACAGATATAATTTAATGTTCGACGTGGCAAATAGCCAGGAAATTAGTTGTTTTCTGTTGAATATTCAGAATGTTATATGCATATACTTCAGAAGATTTTGTTTTCAAATTCTTATTGTCTTTGTTCAATAGATGTGATTCAATATTCGTCGTGGCATATAGCCAGGAAAGTAGTTGTTTTCTCTTGAATAAACCGAGAAAGAATCAATATTTTCATCACAGGGAGGATGCGAATTCTCCATGTATTTATTTATATATACAGGGTGATTCTGGTTTTAAGGCACAAACTGAAATGGGAGATAGATCTAATCATTTTAATCAAAAAAGTTTTTATAAACATTAGTTCAGTAGCGGAGCTACAGGGGGTTAAAGTTTAATTATTTTTTTTCTATTGATTGAAATATCTCGCTTACTTTTCAAGATATCATTTTGAAATTTGGTGTGGTCAATACTTCTTAGAAGATCATCATTTGAAGCATTTCGAAGATTTTCAACATCTACAGGGTGATACGTTTTTGGAGGTACAGGCTTCTTTATCCCCTCCAAACTTTTTCAGTACGCCTCTGGCATCTTTCAGTGATCAAATTGCGTAGATCGTTCCATTTAGAGGCTTTTTCAGCTCCTCAATTTTTTTCGAATCGTTTTTGAGATGAATAAGCATATACGTTCCAAAACATGTTAATTTTGCTTATGTTTTGCTTAAATTGTATTCTTTGACAAAATTCTTTGAAAATACAACAGTGGCTTAACACGAATTTTCCGCGTCGTTGGATTGGTCGATTAGGTCATATTGCTTGGCCTCTCAGATCCCCGACTTGAATCCCTTGTATTTTTATTTCTGGGGTACTCTCAAAGATAAGTGTTGGGCTTCTGCCCTTGTTTGTTCTAGATTTGCATAGGCAATTCACCAAAACGCAAAATTGATTGTGATGGATGTTAGATTGTAGATGGGTCGTATAGGCTGAGAGACCTCTCGATCACTGCGGCCTAGAAGATCTATTGTGATTATGTTATGTTAATTTCAATCGTTGTTTATTATTTTCATTCTCTTTTTTTTTTGTTTCATTTTCTATAACAACATCAAATATATATTATTGAATATCTATGGAAACTTATCATATACAATATCTATGGAAACTACTAATTTTGATAGAAACTATAGAAACTAGTCTTCCAACATAGCCGCTCGCCTTGAAAGAGTTAGCTCTTCTTTCAAGAAACATCAATGGTGGTTCTCATCGTTGATCGGCAATATGCACAATTTTGCTACAGTGCGTTTAAAAATTCCTCTTGTAGTCTGGATGCTGACTTCTCGAACAATGCCGTCGGTTCCTGGATGAAGTTTTATTACTCTGCCCATTGTCCAGCATATCGGAGGTAGATTTCCGTCCTTTAATACTACTAATGTGTTGAGTGTTATTGACTCTTCCATCTTCTTCCACTTGCTTCTAGATTGTAACTGTTGTCTTCTTGGGGCAAAGATTTGAGAGATGAGTCAATCAGAAAGTGATAAGGTGTTGAAGTTTGAAAATCTAAAGGGTTTTCAGTTAAAGGAAGTAGAGGTCGTGAATTGAGACGGGCTTCAATCTGTGTTAAAACAATATAATTCTTCAAAATTTAAAACGGTTGTACCGATAACTCTTCTCAAATGATATTTTGCTGACTCTATCACAGATTCCCAAACACCTCCACAATGGGGTGAACGAGGAGGAATGAAATTCCATTCAATACCATCCTCAGCCAAATAATTGTGGATGGAAGTTTGGACACTATTTAGTAGAAACTGTAAAAATTCCTTCAACTTATTATTTGGATCTACATAGTTAGTTGCATTATCACTAAAAATTTGCTGAGGCTTGCCTCGTCTAAAGATGAATCTTTTCAAAAAATTCAAAAAAGATTCAGTTGATAAATCGCTCACAAGTTCTATATTAACTGCTTTCGTTGAAAAACAAACGAAAATACACATATAACACTTCACAATTTTTTTTTTTCTAAATTTTGTTACTTTGACATCGAATGGCCCACCATAATCAACACCACAATTAATGAATGGTCTACAAGGGTTGACTCGTGCTGATGGCAAATCACCCATCAAAGTATTATAGCTTTCTGGATTTACTTTAAAACAAACAATACAATTTTTTAAAACACTCCGTATAGTGAGGCGACCAGATAAAGGACATTATTGCAAACGAATGATTGCTAAGAGAGATTGAATATTTGCATGGAGATTTTGATAATACTCATGTCGAATAATAAGAGTAGTGAGTGGATGTTTTGAAGGAAGAATTACTTGATGTTTCTGGTCGTATGGTAAACTTGAATGCTTTCCAAAAATGGATTGAGGGAGAGGATCTTACTATTTGTTTTAAGAGATTTTGAATTTATTAGATCTTGAATTTCTGAATTGAATGTGGTATATTCACACATTTTCAATATTGAAATCGAAGCTTCTTTAAGTTCTGAAATAGTTAGAAACCCTTCAACTCTATTATTTCTATTCTTACAGTTATTTTTGAATCGTAAACAATAAGCTGAATTAAATGTGGTATATTCACACATTTTCAATTTTGAAATCGAAGCTTCTTTAAGTTCTGAAATAGTTAGAAACCCTTGAACTCTATTATTTCTATTCTTACAGTTATTTTTGACTCGTAAACAATAAGCTATCACATGAATGAGTTTCGTAAGTGTTGAATATTTTTCAAAAATATCATTAGCAATTGTGTTTGTGAAGCAATGCAGTACTCTTTTCTTTTTGATTTCTGGTAATTTTGTTGGAAAAATTATAGTATTTGAAGGCCATTTTACTTGATCTTTCAAAAGCCAACTAGGGCCTTTCCACCAGAGGTCTGATATTATCAAATCTTTGGGATTAGTTCCTCTGGATATGCTATCGGCGGGATTTTGTTCACTGATTACATGATTGTATTCGCCAATTTCAGTTAAATTTTTTATTTCTGAGACTCGATTGGCTACAAATGTTTGATAATCACTTGGTTCTCCAGCAATCCAAGCTAAGACAATTGTTGAGTCACACCAAAAATAAATTGTATCAATTTTTATATGAATTGATTTGATTATCTTTTGAGTTAATTGAGCTGCCAACAATGCGCCGCACAGTTCAAGTTTGGGTAGACTGATTTGTTTAAGAGGCGCTACTCGTGATTTTGCACATAAGAGACTGCTTTGATGATTGTTGTATGAATCTGTAGATCTCAAATAAATACATGATCCATATGCTAAGAGTGATGCATCCGAGAAAGAATGTAATTGAATATGAATTGTTGTATTTAAAATTGTATGTCTTGCTATACTAATATTATTAATTGAAGTTAGCTGATTATAGAATTTATTCCAACTTTTATGGATATCATGAGGTAGCGATTCATCCCACTATAAATTCAGCTGCCAAATTTTCTGAAGTAATATTTTTGCCTTTATTATACAGGGACCAATCAGACCCAAGGGGTCAAAAAGGACCACGCACAAAACCATAGGGAATTGGCCCACAGTGGGATTTGCCTGAAATTCACATATGTTATTGGTATGGAGTTTCTGATCAAATGTCCTCATGTAACCAATCCTCTAAGACCAAAGATTTAGCTCCCAGGGCCGTATTTATTATAGGTGCCAAATAAACAATGACACTTTTTTTCAAGCCCATGATTGTTGTATCTCCCATAATAATTCGCGCTTATCAATAGATATTATACACCAA